CAGACAGTACCCCATCCTTTCCTGTATCTAAGCAGACAGGACATCATCCCTTCCTGTAACTAAGCAGACAGGACCCCATCCCTTCCTGTACCTAGGCAGACAGGACCTCATCCCTTCCTGTATCTAAGCAGACAGAACATCACCCTTGCCTGTATATAAGCAGACAGGACCTCATCCCTTCCTGTACCTAGGCAGACAGGACCTCACCCCTTCCTGTACCTAGGCAGACAGGACCTCATCCCTTCCTGTACCTAGGCAGACAGGACCTCATCCCTTCCTGTATCTAAGCAGACAGGACCTCATCCCTTCTTGTACCTAGGCAGACAGGACCTCACCCCTTCCTGTATATAAGCAGACAGGACATTATCCCTTCCTGTATATAAGCAGACAGGACATCATCCCTTCCTGTATATAAGCAGACAGAACATCACCCATTCCTGTATCTAAGCAGACAGGACACCATCCCTCCCTGTATCTAAGCAGACAGGACACCATCCCTCCCTGTATCTAAGCAGACACGACATCACCCATTCCTGTATCCAAGCAGATAGGACACCATCCCTCCCTGTATCTAAGCAGACAGTATCTAAGCAGACATAACATCACCCCTTCCTCTATCTAAGCAGACAGGACCTCACCCTTACCTGTATTTTCACTGGTTTACTTTCTTTTCCAAGAAAACATTGTAAAATGTTCAGTGAAATGCTACGAAGAGAATAGATATGTTTCCATTATAATGCCACTACTCCATACCCCATGTAGTACTTGTTGTTTAGTGTATGTGTATACATACATATATCTTAAGACAGAATTTCATTTTGATTCAGGTTTCAGTTTAGACAGGTTCCACAGAAACAAACAGGACACACTTTAAATTATTACATATATCATATCTACAAAATATACTCAACTGATTAAATATAATCTAGTCATGTCTTAACTTGTTAAATGAATCTATTGACGCCATTTTGTCACCATCAATAGGATGCAAGATGGGTTGTTGTTTTATTGGATTTGAAATAGGATTTTGTTTAAAATCTCCATCATATCAACATAGTGTGTGTGAACTGAAAAAGAGCACTACCAGAACCATTGGTACCTAAAACATACACGCAAAGAACAAAGAAAATCAATCATTTTAAATTACAAATTATGCAAGCACATTTTCTATTTTTAGACATGCAGACGATATGATAAAAATCAACGACAGCATAGTTTAACAAAACAACTTAATAATTTAAATAATGAATTATAAATTATTTTCATGCAATTAGTCTACATACCTTTTCCTTCTTTACACTGTGGCCTTTGACCTCACATTAATTCTCAATATTCACGTGCGCTCTCATCTCCAGAGAGAAAAGGCATCATAACAGCTTAATCCTCACAACAAAGACACATTCTTTATATTCATGCGATATCATGAATTAATCAAAATCAATGAAAACACGAGCTAGTTACGTTTTTGCCAAAATCAATAGTTGAATGGGTCACGTACCTTGGAAACACGTAACGGTGGCTAAGTAATCCGGGTTGTTTTGCCGGGAAATCCCACGTGCAGAGACGTTTGGATATCGATCAGCAACCAACCAACAACAATGACATCACACGCCAGTCAGTGAAATAGACACTGCAGCACGACAACCTAGCTGATATGGGGCCTCCATTGGGATTTACGTTTAAATCTGATGACCATTTGCAATTGCAGTACATAAAAAAACTGTGTGCATTGGCATAATCCCTAAAAGAAATATGTTATAAAATGTTGTACGTTACTATGAATTAACGAATCAGCGCTATTTTAGTGTTACTATACTGATAACAGACGTCACGAAATTAGATTTATTTAAGTCTATGCATATTTTAATTTAAATGCATATAACATGCTATTCAATCTATAAAAAAAAAATTAAAAAAATAGGACGAAAGGAAACGAAATCATAATAGCATTTATATTAGGATATTCTGTTATTTTTTTTGTATACTGCAAAACTGAATTACAAGGTATAGCCAAATATACGGCAGTGCAGAAAAGTCAAACCAGAGAGTACGTCTCTGGTAAAACCATTGGAAATGTACGCATTTTATAGTATTTACCACATCTAAAAATTTGATATAAAAAATAATTCGTTTGATGTATATTGCATTATCATCGAGATGAACAAACAAAAATAAAAAAATAAACAATGACTACAAGAATATGACATGTGCTGTTTATTTTGTATCGTTGTATTAGCGAATTTGTCATGAATCTCCCCCGTCGTGGGCCCATTGACATTCCACACACACCAATCGATATGTCTGTGCATCCATTCGATTGTGCACCAAGAGTAACATAACACATGGAACATTGACGATGGAAAAAAATATCGCTGACTTAGCGATTGAAGGCAAGATTGTCACTGGATGTTGTCAAGTTAGAATTTTTCCGACAACTTTTCAACAATAATAAAAATAACGCTTTCCAAATTTCACAATTTACACAAATAATCAGGGACTACACACACGAGAAATATTGGTATATATAGCTTGTTTTGTTGTTACGTAATAAAATCGATCTCGCTCCAGACGTGGATAGTGCCAAGGATGTTTCGTCCATCTGCATACTGATTTTTTATGTATCTATTTTGAATATTATTCTTTTCTTTGATATGATTTTTTTATGCAAAATGCAAACATGATTAGACACGGGTTAAAAAACTTAAAATCCATCTTCTCCTTTTTATTTTTTTGGACAGTTTTCGTTAATCTATTTTTTATCTTTGTATGGAATCTGTATTGATTAACAGGGTTTCTTGGCACCTTCTTCTTTGCTTGTTCTAAAACTAAATCGTGATTCGTGATACTAGTCTCAGCAATTTAGGAGTGGGACGACTGGTTCGCCCGTTGTCAGTATAATGTGACCGGGTGGGGTGTCCTGCTGGGTGTCTTCGGCAGTATGTTTCAGTGAGGTAGCACTATAAAGTCGGCATAAGTTCCGCTCTATCACAAGCCTCCCAAAACACACAAGCATACACTACACGCATGCATGGGAAGCCCGTCCTTAAATGACCATAGCTGTTGTTAGGACGTTAAACAATACTAAACCAAACCAAACCTCGTGATACTAGTCAATCTATTGTTTCTATTAAAAATAGTGGGGTTTTTTTGTGTGTGTAACCTCTAGGGCTTTTGTTCGTTTCTTAAAAAAAAACCAGAACATTTTTTTTACAGTTTTGTATTCAAGGAATTTTAGATTACAGTATGTCTAAATATTAAAATATACCAATAAATGTCTTCTCTTCCAAATTTCTCTGTATTTCTCTTCAGGATGTCCCTGTGGTCAATTGCTGATCAAACACTGTTGCATGGAGAGGCACAATTGGATGTTAAGTCAATCGTACACGTACAGCGTCTGTACTGTAAAGTCACTTACACTAATGATAGCATTTTAATGGTAATAGACCACATTCTAATTGCACACAACCGGAAAAAAAATCGGCGCGCTGCTCTTCTACATGTTAATATATCCGATTCCACTTGTCGAACAGCCATGCATCTTTAATTGACATAGTCTCCGGTTAATTGTGTCAAAGACAGCTAATGCCGCACGCTCGAGTAGAACCTCACTTCCGCTAGGACGAAATTTATATTTTTACAATAAATGCAATCGAGATTAGGTTTGTTATATTATTACACTTTCAACTACATTTTGTATACGAATATAGCTTAACTTTATCTTCTAAAATAACCAACTTAAGCAAGGTCTAATCTGATTCCGTGGGTTAAGTTAAAACGACGACATTAACAGGGGCCGGTGACACGAGATATGGGCCTGTTTTGGGGGTTGTACCATATAAAACTTGATTGGTACATGGGCTCATTAGAATTTGATACAATGAGCTTACAGAGTAAGAATATCCATACTGTATTCGTAAAATACCACGACATATTATATTTACACAAACCCATATTTTATATATCCAGTTCCTGTATATTGAAAAAAAAATGTTTCACGCTCAAAATATCTGCCAGAATTATTAGCTTGTATACCAAATTACCAGGTCATCTTTCTTGCTTCTGCATTAAAATTTGAAAATTTGGAATTCGTTGTCGCCCCCTACTAAAACAATAGATCACGTAATTCAGGGGTGGGACAACAAACTGAATAAGTTGTCTCAAATATAATATTTGCCATAACAACTTGTGCAACACGACGAGGTGTAATATTTTTCTGTGGAGTATTTATCACGTAGTCTCCCAACTTTCAAGGGGAGATAACCGTGTCAATAGGTGGTTCATAGCTACGTATGGTTAACATCGTAAAAATACGTCTGTTTCATGTGACAATCTTATAATCGTAAAGTACTGTTTCAAAGTACCAATACAACTTAAATAAGCTTTGGTTGATGAAATCATACCTTCTGATATAAAGTGTGATAAAATGTTTGGACATGTGCAAACTGTTATTTGATCCAGCGAAAGATTTTGATTATGACATTGACCAGTGATGTGTAGTGGACACATCTCTGCTAAAACGTAAGTTATCATTTTGTGAAAATCGATACAATGAGAATCCATATAGATGCACAACGTTTCTAAACTTGGAACAGATTTTTTTCCTGTGTGTTGAATTTCTGAAAGAGGCGTCTATACTATTGTTTCTACCAACTTGAGAAATGTGCATTGAAGTGTTTTTTTTTTAATATGTTATCTCAAGATGTCACTGATTGTACAGCAGCTCAAAGAATTACGATAATTTTTCGGACGGTTTTTGACGAAGCCCATATCTTATTCCTTCCGAAGACGTTTCCGTGATATTTCCTAACACACTGAGAATTCAAACTGTTAAATATTTGTTATGATATCTGTTAAAACACATAATTAGAGTGCACAAAGGATTGACATATGAGACTACAACGTGTCAATTTTTTTTGTAACGGTCAATTCCGGTTCTCCCTGATGGGGCCTCATTCTTCCAACCGGAATCATTCACAGCTGATCCGCGTGCACGTACATCGTTAATCAGACAAAGCGATCTGGTCGCGAACTTTGACCTCACGAGACCGCATAGGACCATCTGGAGCCCGGCTTTGAGAGATTGTGAAGTACAAGTAACTGTCTGGGCAGCTGTATATATAGTACCTGATTGCTATTTAGGTGTGAGTCCCGGACGATGAAGAGGACTGACGGGGAACGGGGAAGGAGGAGATGGGTATAAAGGAGGAAGATGAAGGGAGGGATGGAAGAAGAAGGAAGAGAAGGAAGAGGAGATGGGGTTAGGGAGATGACAATGGAAAAAGGGAACAACATAATATAATCTGATGGTTGGGGCAGAGGGAGAGGGATGAGTGGTGGGGATGGAGCATGGGGGCATCGGAGAGGAATGTATGGTTTGGGGGAGTGGGATGGGTGGTTTGTGGCAAGGGGGAGAGGGATGGGTGGTTTGTGGCAGGGGGAGAGGGATGCCTGGTTTGTTGCAGGGGGGGAGGGATGTGGGGTTTGTGGCAGGGGGGGGGGGGGGGGGGGGGGGTTTGGGGGAGGGGGAGAGGGATGCCGGGTTTGTTGCAGGGGGAGAGGGATTGGTGGTTTGTGGCAGGGGGGGGGGGGGGGGGGGGGGGTTGGGGGGGGGGGGGGAGGGAGGGGTGGTTTGTTGCGGGGGGGGAGGGATGTGGGGTTTGTGGCAGGGGAGAGGGATGAGTGGTGGGGATGGTGCACGAGGGCATCGGAGAGGAACGTATGGGTTGGGGGGGGGGGGGGGGGGTGGGGGGGGGGGGGGGGGGGGGGGGGGGTTGGGGGGGGGGGGGGGGGGATGCCTGGTTTGTGGCAGGGGGAGAGGGATGAGGGGTGGGGATGGGGGCATGGGGGCATCGGAGAGGAACGTATGGGTTGGGGGGGGGGGGGGGGGGATGCCTGGTTTGTGGCAGGGGGAGAGGGGTGGGTGGGTTGTGGCAGGGGGGGGGGGGTGGGTGGGGGGGGGGGGGCGTGGGGGCATCGGAGAGGAAGGTATGGTTTGGGGGAGTGGGATGGGGGGTTTGTGGCAAGGGGGAGAGGGATGGGGGGTTTGTTGCGGGGGGGGGGGGATGGGGGGTTTGGGGCGGGGGGAGAGGGATGCCTGGTTTGTGGCAGGGGGAGAGGGGTGGGTGGGTTGTGGCAGGGGGGGGGGGGTGGGTGGTTTGTGGCAGGGGGGGAGGGATGAGTGGTGGGGATGGGGCATGGGGGCATCGGAGAGGAACGTATGGTTTGGGGGAGTGGGGTGGGTGGTTTGTGGCAAAGGGGGAGAGGGATGGGTGGTTTGTTGCAGGGGGGAGAGGTATGGGTGGTTTGTGGCAGGGGGAGAGGGATGTGGAGTTTGTTGCAGGGGGAGAGGGATTGGTGGTTTGTTGCAGGGGGAGAGGGATGGTTGGGCTGCTGCAGGGGGAGAGGGGTTGGTAGTTTGTTGCAGGGGGAGAAGGAGGGGGTCTTGGGGAGAGGAGGGATGGGTGAGAAGACAAAGTGGTGGGGACAGCAATTGGGGGTCGGGTGCTGTGGCGGGGGGAGAGGGATGAGTGGGGGGGATGGGGCATGGGGGCATTGGAGAGGAACGTATGGTTTGGGGGGGGGGGGGGGGGATGGTGGGTTTGGGGCAGGGGGAGGGGGATGGGTGGTGGGGAGGGGGCAGGGGGGCATCGGAGAGGAACGTATGGGTTGGGGGGGGGGGGGGGGGGGGGTGGTTGGGGGGGGGGGGAGGGGGATGTGGGGTTTGGGGCAGGGGGGGGGGGGGGGGGGGGGGGATGGGGGCATCGGAGAGGAACGTATGGTTTGGGGGGGGGGGGGGGGGTGGGTGGTTGGGGGGGGGGGGAGGGGGAGGGGGGGCAGCGGAGAGGAACGTATGGTTTGGGGGGGGGGGGGGGGGGTGGGTTGGTTGTGGGGGGGGGGTGGGGATGGGTGGTTGGTGGCAGGGGGAGAGGGATTGGTGGGTTGTTGGAGGGGGAGGGGGGGGGGGGAGGGGGCATGGGGGCATTGGAGAGGAACGTATGGTTTGGGGGGGTGGGGTGGGTGGTTTGTGGCAAAGGGGTAGAGGGATGGGTGGTTTGTTGCAAGGGGAGAGGGATGTGGGGTTTGTGGCAGGGGAGAGGGATCGGTGGTTTGTGGCAGGGGGAGAGGGGTGGTTGGGTTGTTGCAGGGGGGGAGGGATGGTTGGGCTGCTGCAGGGGGAGAGGGGTTGGTAGTTTGTTGCAGGGGGAGAAGGAGGGGGTCTTGGGGAGAGGAGGGATGGGTGAGAAGACAAAGTGGTGGGGACAGCAATCGAGGGTCGGGTGCTGAGGAATGTGTGGGGGCAGCAAGACTGAAATTTCAACTATTACTTATCAAAAGGTTCTACATAAAATATATCTATTAGATACCATACCATTTTTTTCTGGAACAGTCTCTTTTTTTATGTTGTGAAAAGTGAACCACTTGAAGTAAAGTATTTCTTATCAAAAACATTTTACAGAAATAGAACAATACCTGAAATATACAACTTAAAGCTTGTTCCCTTGAGAAGCAGGCAATCTAGTACACAGCAACATGTAGAACCTACTAAACAATAGCCCCTGTGTTGTGTAGTTTCTGTGTGAGGTTACAAGCCCGTGTTGTGTAGTTTCCGGGTGAGGTTAAAAGCCCCTGTGTTGCGTAGTTTCTGGGTGTGGTTACAAGCCCGTGTTGTGTAGTTTCCGGGTGAGGTTAAAAGCCCCTGTGTTGCGTAGTTTCTGGGTGAGGTTACAAGCCCCTGTGCTACACTAGCCCCTGTGGTGTGTAGTTTCTGGGTGAGGTTAGTTGCAGGGGGAGAGGGATTGGTAGTTTGTTGCAGGGGGAGCAGGAGGGGGCCTTGGGGAGAGGTGGGATGGGTGAGAAGACAAAGTGGTGGGGACAGCAATTGGGGGTCGGGTGCTGTGGCGGGGGGAGAGGGATGGGGGGTTTGTGGCAGGGGAGAGGGATGAGTGGGGGGGATGGGGCATGGGGGCATTGGAGAGGAACGTATGGTTTGGGGGGGGGGGGGGGGGTGGGGGGGGGGGGGGGTGGGGGGGGGGGGGGGAGGGGGGGGGGGGGGGGGTGGGGGGGGGGGGGGGTGGGGGGGGGGGGGGGAGGGGGGGGGGGGGGGGGGGGTGGGTGGTTGGGGGGGGGGGGAGGGGGATGTGGGGTTTGTGGCAGGGGAGAGGGATCGGTGGGTTGTGGCAGGGGGGGGGGGGGGAGGGGGGGGGGGGGGGGGGCAGGGGGGCATCGGAGAGGAACGTAGGGTTTGGGGGAGGGGGGTGGGTGGTTTGTGGCGGGGGGAGGGGGATGTGGGGTTTGTGGCAGGGGGAGGGGGATGGTTGGTTTGTTGCAGGGGGAGAGGGATGGTTGGGCTGCTGCAGGGGGAGAGGGATTGGTAGTTTGTTGCAGGGGGAGAAGGAGGGGGTCTTGGGGAGAGGTGGGATGGGTGAGAAGACAAAGTGGTGGGGACAGCAATTGAGGGTCGGGGGCTGAGGAATGTGTGGTGGCAGCAAGACTGAAATTTCAACTATTACTTATCAAAAGGTTCTACATAAAATATATCTATTAGATACCATACCATTTTTTTCTGGAACAGTCTCTTGTTTTATGTTGTGAAAAGTGAACCACTTGAAGTAAAGTATTTCTTATCAAAAACATTTTACAGAAATAGAACAATAACTGAAATATACAACTTAAAGCTTGTTCCCTTGAGAAGCAGGCAATCTAGTACACAGCAACATGTAGATCCTACTAAACAAGAGCCCCTGTGTGGTGTAGTTTCTGGGTGAGGTGACAAGCCTCTGTGTTACACTAGCCCCTGTGTTGTGTAGTTTCTGGGTGAGGTTACAAGCCTCTGTGTTACACTAGCCCCTGTGTTGTGTAGTTTCTGGGTGAGGTTCCCAGCCTCTGTGTTACACTAGCCCCTGTGTTGCGTAGTTTCTGGGTGAGGTTAAAAGCCCCTGTGTTGCGTAGTTTCTGGGTGAGGTTACAAGCCCGTGTTGTGTAGTTTCTGGGTGAGTTCAAAAGCCCCTGTGTTGTGTAGTTTATGGGTGAGGTTACAAGCCCATGTGTTGTTTATTTTCTGGGGGGGGTTACAAGCCTCTGTGGTTCACTAGCCCCTGTGTTGTGTAGTTTTTGGGTGAGGTTGCCAGCCTCTGTGCTACACTAGCCCCTGTGTTGTGTAGTTTCTGGGTGAGGTTACAAGCCCATGTGTTGTGTATTTTCTGGGTGAGGTTACAAGCCTCTGTGCTACACTAGCCCCTGTGTTGTGTAGTTTCTGGGTGAGGTTACAAGCCCCTGTGTTGTGTATTTTCTGGGTGAGGTTACCAGCCTCTGTGCTACACTAGCCCCTGTGTTGTGTAATTTCTGGGTGAGGTTACCAGCCTGTGCTACACTAGCCCCTGTGTTGTGTATTTTATGGGTGAGGTTACAAGCCTCTGTTACACTAGCCCCTGTGTTGTGTAGTTTCTGGGTGAGGTTACCAGCCCCTGTGTTACACTAGCCCCTGTGTTGTGTAGTTTCTGGTAGAGGTTACCAGCCTCTGTGCTACACTAGCCCCTGTATTGTGTAGTTTCTGGGTGAGGTTACAAGCCCCTGTGCTACACTAGTCCCTGTGTTGTGTAGTTTCTGGGTGAGGTTACAAGCCCCTGTGTTACCCTAGCCACTGTGTTGTGTAGGTCCTGGACGAGGTTACAAGCCCCTGCGTTTCCCTAGCCCCTGTGTTGTGTAGTTTTTGGGTGAGGTTACCAGCCTCTGTGCTACACTAGCCCCTGTATTGTGTAGTTTCTGGGTGAGGTTACAAGCCCCTGTGTTGTGTAGTTTCTGGGTGAGGTTAAAAGCCCCTGTGCTACACTAGTCCCTGTGTTGTGTAGTTTCTGGGTGAGGTTACAAGCCCCTGTGTTGTGTATTTTCTGGGTGAGGTTACCAGCCTCTGTGCTACACTAGCCCCTGTGTTGTGTAGTGTCTGGGTGAGGTTACAAGCCCCTTAGCTGTAATTACTTTAAGTGCCCGTCTCCTCCCTCCTTAGTATCACTGGAGTCTACAGAAACCTTATCCCAGGTCTATTTATCATTTTACATTTTTCTCTTTAGAAGTTTCCTCCTACAACTCTCTTCATTACTGTTTCTAACTCCTTCAATTTCCGCCACCTCATCATCAGACGCCTCTCATCCCTCTCTATACACTGTTCCTTTTCCTTGGTCTATCCCATTCTCTTTCTAACATCAGTTTATTCTTATTTATTCTTACCTTCACTTCTCAAAATTCACTTCCATAAAAGCTGGGGTTTCAAAACATTGCTGTCTGTGCTTGCATCATTTGGTCTGTCTGTCAATACATCTGCATGTTTGCCCTTACATCCTTGTGTCTGTCCATCCATCCTGTAGCATGTCTGTCCTTACATCCGTGTGTCTGTCCATACAACCTGTACCATGTCTGTTCTTACATACTTGTGTCTGTCCATACATAATGTAGCATGTATGTCCTTACATCCTTGTGTCTGTCTATCCATCCTGTAGCATGTATGTCCCCTAAACCTTGTGTCTGTCCATACATCCTATAGCATGTCTGTACTTAATCCTTGTCTGTCCATATATATACATCCTGTAGCATGTCTGTCCTTAATCATTGTCTGTCCATACATACTGTAGCATGTATGTCCTTAATTCTGGTCTGTCCATACATCCTGTAGCATGTCTGTCCTTAATCCTTGTGTCTATCCATACATCCTGTAGCATGTATGTCCTTAATCCTTGTCTGTCCATACATCCTGTAGCATGTCTGTCCTTAATCCTTGTGTCTATCCATACATCCTGTAGCATGTATGTCCTTAATCCTTGTCTGTCCATACATCCTGTAGCATGTCTGTTCTTACATCCTTGTGTCTGTCCATACATAATGTAGCATGTCTGTCCTTACATCCTTGTCTGTCTATCCATCCTGTAGCATGTATGTCCCTTAAAACCTTGTGTCTGTCCATACATCCTGTAGCATGTCTGTCCTTAATCCTTGTGTCTGTTTATACACCCTGTAGCATGTCTGTCCATAATCCTTGTGTCTGTCCATACATCCTGTATCATGTATGTCCCCTAAACCTTGTGTCTGTCCATACATGCTGTAGCATGTCTGTCCTTAATCCTTGTGTCTATCCATACATCCAGTAGCATGTATGTCCTTAATCCTTGTCTGTCCATACATCCTGTAGCATGTCTGTCCTTAATCCTTGTCTGTCCATACATCCTGAAGCATGTCTGCCCTTAATCCTTGTGTATGACCATACATCCTGTAGCATGTCTGTCCTTAATCCTTGTGTCTGTTTATACACCCTGTAGCATGTCTGTCCTTAATCTTTGTGTCTGTCCATACATCCTGTAGCATGTATGTCCCCTAAACCTTGTGTCTGTCCATACATCCTGTAGCATGTCTGTCCTTAATCCTTGTGTCTGTCCATACATCCTGTAGCATGTATGTCCCCTAAACTTTGTGTCTGTCCATACATCCTGTAGCAGGTCTGTCCTTAATCCTTGTCTGTTCATGATCATACACCCTGTAACATTAATCCACGTCTGTCCATACATCCTGTAGCATGTCTGTCCATACATCCTGTAGCATGTCTGTCTATACATCCTGTAGCATGCCATACATCATGAAACATTCTCTTTCTTTGTAATTGTGTCTGTCCTTGGTTCTGTCTGTCCATGCATCCTTTTAGTATGTCTGTCCTTACTCCTTACATCATTGATAAGTCTATTTGTATATCCATACACCCTTAAATCATGTCTGTCTCTATATTCTTTTAGATTTAAACCCCCGTTTTCAATTTTTGTCTCTTTTGAAATAACTGAACCTGTAAGCTTCCTGGGTAGGAGGAGTGATAAGCAGGGTAGGGAAATGGGAAAATCTGATACAAATTTTCTGCCGGAGCTTTCCCCTTTCATATGTTAAATACATCTTGCTCACAGTTTAAAAAAGAAAATGTCAGTTTTGAGTGTAAAGAAAAGCCAATATGAATAGCAAGGTGGTCTTTTAAGGGTCATGTCTTCCCGGACAACTATTTGTCCTCAGTTGTAATCTAATTTACTAAACACTTGGAAGGATGTTGTAAAATAACAAAAGGAGCATAATTGAACAGACATGAAATATTGGAAATAGAATATATATCACAATTATACAATTAACTACAGTAACAACCATGTGTACCAAGTTTCACAAACATCATTCAAGAAGATAAGTAAAAGTCCTAAAACAGAAATAAGGGACATAACTCCAATTAAAATCTAGGAAAATTTAAGCACAACTTTTGAGAATGGCAATTGAAACCATACAAGCTGAGCAGACAAGATTTGGCTAATGATGTACTTTGTATAGTATGCTGTAAATAGTAACAATTAAAATGAACTTACATTTGAATGTCAATAAAGGCTGTAATTAATCAGCATTTTCTGAAGATGATATTTTTTGTACTGAACCAACGTTGTAGCATAAGTTTGTTTGAAAACAAAACTACTGGAAACACTTTGTATTTAGAACTTTTATTTCTTTATTACAATTTTGCAAATAGCAAAGATGAATATGGCTTATCAAAAGAATAAGTTTCCTAATATGGAAATACACAATTTACATGTCCTTATATGGCAAATATGCAATTTACATGTCCTTATATGGTAATCCACAATTTACATGTCCTTATATGGTAATACACAATTTACATGTCCTTATATGGTAATACACAACATATGACTTCTTCATTGGTTACAGAAATGTTCACATCAACAGATTAGACATAGATAATATTGTGTTGACACTATACAAAGGCATGTTGACAGTGATGTTAACATTTCATTACACATGTTGACAGCGATGTTAACATTTCATTACACATGTTGACAGTGATGAAGCTATGCATTAAAAGGATTATATCCACTTTATGTTGCTAATGTGAAAATGATGACAAAGTTGACTACGCTGCCGTCATTAAGCTTGCACATTTGTTGACATGTGAAGTGATGTCATCAAATCAGAAGCGTGGTTATCAAAGCTGTTCAGATATACATGTAATGCTTCATTTTAATTTTGAACTTGAATGCACATTTTTTTTTTTTTTTCGAACATAAATGCGTAAGTCTTCAATAAATCAAATGATGAATCAGAAAGTTGGTGTAATTACACCTAACAGTAATCACAACTGTCCATGTTTGATGTGTAATTTGAGTGTTAGATCATTTAAAAGTAAAACGATGACAATGTTGACAATGGTGTAACAGATCAGTATGCCAAAGCCACGCTAAGGCATTTACTCAGCATTTGAATGTCAACATTAACTCAATGAAAACACAGGTAACAAAAATTTCAGCAACAAAAAATCTTTCATACAAAATGCTTGGTCTGAACTTCAATTCTTGTATACATAATTCTCAAATCAAGGCTATACATGTATATATTTATTTGAATAAAATTTCCTATACAAAGCGCTTAGTAAATTTTCTGTACATTATGAGGACCAATTTGTAGATGGCCTCCATGGTAACCTATCAATAGCCGCTGATCTTTACACAGAGAAAGCAAAATAAAGCTTACAAGTGAAATAGCTATACAGTGTTTTCAGTGGAACCTCATTAATCTTCAAACTTTCCCTATCAATCTGGACATTCCTGTGTCAACTCAAAACTGTTGGAATAACTCAATTTACCGATTTGAAAAAACAAGAATTGTGGCTTACAAAATCAGTTGAGTCCCTGAATGTAAATGATCAGACTCTGTTGTATCAATCATGTTAGCCTAATGATACACCAAGTTAAATTTTCAGTTCTTAGTTGTTGTTTTTTTGAAAATCTGCCCTGAAAATTGACGTATGTCAAGGAAAGTACTATATTCATCCTCACAGTATGACAGGTTTGTCTATGTAAACAAGAAAAACTTTAACCGTAGAACTAGATCCTGAGGACAGGACCATACTCCGGTTATCAAAGTTCCACTAAATCTTAACAGCAAAGTCTAACGAGCTTTTCATGTATCTGTGATGACTGGTGAAGTTCTGCTTTGAGCAAAAGAAATTTCATTTCTAGAACAAAAATTACACTGGTAAAAACAGCAGTTTCCTACATTGTTTATATCTGTCTTTGGACTTTTTCTGGATGTTGAAAATATGTTGAAGATTACATGTATATGTTAGTTAAGTGTATATGTGTTACTTTTCAAAAATGTTATATTATGCATAAATAAAAGATCTTTAAGATTGCAAACTGAATTTAGATCAACTTTAAAAACATTTTGTTTAGCTGATCAAATGATTTTATCTACATTACATGTTTTTAAAATGTGTTAAAAAGTCAATTCCAATTCTGAAAATTTGACTGAGTATAGATAAAATGTAACCATATTTTTCCAGTAAATGATGGAGCTGATTATTTTGTTGAAAATGTAACCTCATAAATATAGGCCAATGAAAAAAGTGTTCATCAAGACACCAATGGCACTTGTGTGAGACTAAAAATGCTAATTTTGGAAAATAATTTTCATACATAAACTATCTTAATTTATCCTAGGTAGGGAAAAATATTATACGATACAAAATCTACACTGGATTCAAACAAGAATAATAATGGGAAGAAATTTGGGTTCGTTTATTGCACAATTATTGATATTTGTTACTTTTCTTCTCAATGTGATCATATCTAAACACCACAATACAAACCTGGCCCTGATGTGTTAACAAAAAAAACTACAACTATAACTTATATTTTCAGAGTTCCAGTTACTTGATAATTTCATTAATCTTGAAAATACCATGCAAAACATGATTATTCAATTTGTGTTCAGATGTGTAGATTTTTCCACACACTGTTAAGAAAAACTATAATTATATTGAATGAAAAAAAAGGTAATACAAATTCTTTTTTCATATTTGAATTGATTTACAGTTGAAATAGATGACTACGTGACTGATCAATCCTATGTAAGAATGCTTTCTGAAGACATCAGGGCCTTACCTCAGGAAGTCTGAGTTAGATCTATATATGTTTGATTCTACACCGATCATTCTACACCGATCACCTAACAACAATCACACAACAAATACTTCTATCTACAAACACTAAATCAGGGTTAGAACAGACATACTGGTCACCATTGGTTACAAACCCACCAAACACTCATACACTCTTATCCCATTGGTCAGAATAATCAAACTTCAACCAATCACAAAGTTTGTATCAATTTCAACTTGTAAGAAGATCACAGATCGGTTGAGACTGATTTGTTGGTGAATCTGAAAACCAAGTGAAATTATAATACTATTTAATAGGAACAATAAACTATTAATGGAATCTATAACTTTGTTACATTTAGTAATTATTGATAATATATATATGTATTTTGTATCATTTGAATAAATAAAAATCTTATGGAATAAAACTGCAGTATCTTGTATTCGTTTACTCGCCACAATGAAACATGATAAAAAGGTTGCTCTTGCGTAGAAATTTTTCTAGTTATTTTAGAAATTGCGAGCGACACTTAAAATAATCACATTTCTCTCCAGTTTCCTTTTTGTCTTTCTTAAGAATTATGAATATAGGATTTTTTATGCTGATTTGTCATAATACAAGAAATATATTGAAGAATGTATTCATTTACAGAAAAAAAATGTTGCAAATAAATAATTCTTATTTTAGTATGGGCGTTTTGTTTTTAATGTAATCTTAAATATCTACTAAGAAGGGTGCTGAAAATTCAAAATCATTTATATAACAACGATATTTCCTGTCACGTTTTTAAAATCTTGAATCTGGTCAATCTCTAAAACATTTTACTACTGATGTAATTGTTGTAGTGTGAAGCACCAGAATGTGAATTTTCCCTCAAAAACAAAATGTATTCCAAAATTTTACATATCTATGTTTACTCGGCATTTGAAGCTGGTTTTGATCAAATACGTTGTTAACAACTTCAGATCTCATTTTCTACAAGTTTACTAGTTGTTTAAGTATCAAACAAAGTACAATTTTAATTAAGATTTGGCCTAAAGATAGAAAAACCTTTGTAATAAGCACCTAACTCTACAATGCTAGACAGTACAGAACATGTTTTGGCATATCTTAATGTTTAATGCTAATAGCCAGAGCCAGAAAACCCTGAACTATATCATACATAGTATTATCAACTGTACAAACATTAAAAATAAAAATAATAAAATGACTTTCGAAAAAGACACAAAATGTCAATTTCGGCTCCTGACCAGTCCACTGACTGATAAAGGAAAGGTTTTTTTTTCACTTGAAGTGATCCAGTTTAAAACACAGGAATAAAGTTGACTAAAATTCCTATTAATCAACACATTTTTATTTGAAAATTGCATTAGAATTTATACAAATAAATTCATTAGCACTTCAGACAGATCTATTTATATTTATTTTTGGCCATTTTTAAAGTCAACAATCTTCAGGTAAAGACATATTATATATATATATATTCTCGACCAATTGTGACTATCTGACCTTTAAAAAAATTGCACTTTTACCAATTTTGTACTGATTGTTGTTGGAAAAATAAATGGAGTTAGCTCCCCTAGACTGAGAGGCGGTAGTAATTCAGTTTTGCACACAACATAGCCCAGCAGTGGAAAAGTATGATTGTCTACAAGGCAAGTCCTGGTAAAAATTCCTCACAGCTCGCTCAAAATTATCAATCATGCTACAAGATGGTATACTCGTAGACCCAAAAATACAGTTCTCGAATGACGTAAGATCCGCTGATTGTGTCTGCTGAAGTTATTGTTAAATGTCGTCCTCACTCCCATGGTGATCCACGTGTCTTCACACAAAAGTGATGGTACAGGAGTAAGATTTGAAACCCTGAAATAAACCAAAATAAGTTTAAATCAAAAGCTACACAACACTATAACAATGGTTCAAAAGTCAAATTGAAATCTCTAAAATAAATTAAAGTTAATGTTTGAATGTAAAGCTACACAAAGAATCTTCAAAATAGAAGAATTTTAGGTGTTTTTTACTCAGTAATCATGATTTTGTCTGGTTATTTGTCAGTAATCGATGTACATTGATTTTGTCTGGTTATTTGTCAGTAATCGATGTACATGTACATTGATTTTGGCTGGTTATTTGTCAGTAATCGATGTATATTGATTTTGTCTGGTTATCCCTCAGTAATTAATGTACATGTAAATTGATTTTGTCTGGTTATCCCTCAGTAATTAATGTACATGTACATTGATTTTGTCTGGTTATTTGTTAGTAATCGATGTACATGTACATTGATTTTGACTGGTTATTTGTCAGTAATTAATGTACATGTACATTGATTTTGTCTGGTTATTTGTCAGTAATCGATGTACATGTACATAGATTTTGTCTGGTTATTTGTCAGTAATCGATGTACATGTACATTGGTTTTGTCTGGTTATTTGTCACTGATGTACATGTACATTGATTTTGTCTGGTTATTTGTCAGTAATCGATGTACATGTATATTGATTTTGTCTGGTTATTTGTCACTGATGTACACGTACATTGATTTTGTCTGGTTATTTGTCAGTAATTAATGTACATGTACATTGATTTTGACTGGTTATTTGTCAGTAATTAATGTACATGTACATTGATTTTGACTGGTTATTTGTCAGTAATTAATGTACATTTACATTGATTTTGTCTGGTTATTTGTCAGTAATCGATGTACATGTATATTGATTTTGTCTGGTTATTTGTCACTGATGTACATGTACATTGATTTTGTCTAGTTATTTGTCAGTAATCGATGTACATGTACATTGATTTTGTCTGGTTATTTGTCAATACGTAAAGTGTTGTGTTAATATTTCTTATGAATGAAACGTGCAAAAACCTTAAAACTTGCATTTTTTTCCTGTTGCAGTTTATGTAACATCATAATGAATCCTATTTTGTTTTTTTTCATTTTTTGACGGCAGAAATTTTGTGTGAAAGCTACACAGTCGATATCCATGGATGATTACGATTTATATCCAATTCAATGAGTTTATTCTCAATAAGTGCTCCAGCAAGTAATTTTATTTCAGATTTAGATTGGATTTAAATCCTCATAAGTTTGATACAATGTTGATCTCATAACAGATATAGGAAAGAAAGGCTAGCATTGCTTTTCAAAATGTTTTCTTGTACAAAATATTTGGCAATTGAAGGTGACGTAATCAAAATGTCAGTCTCTCAATCGGCACAGCTACTTTTTACTGCATAGTGCTACTGTGTTACCCTGTATGATCTCATTGTGTTGATGAGCTTTTAACCCTTTCACCCCATGTAACTTTAGTAAACTTTACAATACATTTATCTGGATGAGTCCATTATTGTCCACAGTGGTGAAAGGGTTAAGCCTATGTAGACCCTGTGTGACATTATTGTGTTGATTGGCTGTTAACCCTTTCACCCCTATGTAACTTTAGTAAACTTTACCATACATTTTTTTTGGATGAGTCCATTATGGTCCACAGTGGTGAAGGGTTAAGCCTTCGTAGACCCTGTGTTACATTAGTGTGTTGATTGGCTGTTACAGACTCCCACATGGCCCATTATGGTCCACAGTGGTGAAGGGTTAAGCCTACATAGACCCTGTGTGACATTATTGTGTTGATTGGTTGTTACAGACTACCACATGGCACTTTATGGTCCACAGTGGTGAAGGGTTAAGCCTACATAGACCATGTGTGACATTAGTGTGTTGATTGGCTGTTACAGACTACCACATGGCACTTTATGGTCCACAGTGGTGAAGGGTTAAGCCTACATAGACCCTGTGTTACATTATTGTGTTGATTGGTTGTTACAGACTTCCACATGGCCCTTTATGGTCCACAGTGGTGAAGAGTTAAGCCTACATAGACCCTGTGTGACATTATTGTGTTGATTGGCTGTTACAGACTACCACATGGCACTTTATGGTCCACAGTGGTGAAGGGTTAAGCCTACATAGACCCTGTGTGACATTATTGTGTTGATTGGCTGTTACAGACTACCACATGGCCCTTTATGGTCCACAGTGGTGAAGGGTTAAGCCTTCGTAGACCCTGTGTTACATTAGTGTGTTGATTGGCTGTTACAGACTACCACATGGCCCTTTATGGTCCACAGTGGTGAAGGGTTAAGCCTACGTAGACCCTGTGTGACATTAGTGTGTTGATTGGCTGTTACAGACTACCACATGGCCCTATACGACCTTTGTTAATTGGCTTTCAATACGACAAACAAATACAAGTAACCAGGCCTTTTATTCCACATACCTGAGTATGATTGGTCTACACATCATGTGACTTAACGCCTCCATTCTGTTGTACTTTCTGGGGAGTCCCGCCATGTTTCTGGGCGTCCATTTCAGCTTGCATGCGAGCCAACATCTTCTGCATCTTGCATAACTGTCGGAACAAATTTAATGTAGATATTCAAGTGGTGCAAATATGGTCTTAACTTTGCTTTGACTTCAGGCTATTTTCATATACATTTTTTCCTCATTTTATAATTAGATATACACTGAAACACTAAATATAATTAAATGTTAACTTCAAAATACAATTTAATTTGATTTTGTTCTTTACAAATTTGACTGTGACATTGTTGAAAGCAAAATTCGAAATAAGGAAAGAAAACCAATGAGGAAGAGAAATAAATGGACACGGAGTGTGGACAAAGTGTTTAACATACTTCTATGTTCAACCAAAACAGATAGACAAAAAAAGAAACATACAGCTTGCAGACAGAAGCTCTAGACAGACAGAGGGACATTACTGATAGGTGGACAAAATGACAAACAGCTACCAGACAGAATCTCACGACAGACAATGGCATTACTGATAGGTGGACAAAATGACAAACAGTTACCAGACGGAATCTCACGACAGACAAAGGGGGTATTACTGATAGGTGGACAAAATGACAAACAACTACCTGGCAGAATCTCTTGACAGACAAAGGGACAAACAGCTTGCAGATAAAAGCTCTAGACAGACAGAGGGGCATTTCTCATCGGTGGACGAAATGACAAACAGCTACCTGGCAGAATCTCTGGACAGACAAAGGGACAAACAGCTACCAGACGGAAATTCTGTGCCGACAAAAGGACATACAGCTACCAGACAGAAATTCTGAACAGACAAAAGGACATACAGCTACCAGACAGAAACTCTGAACAGACAAAAGGACAAACAGCTACAAGATAGAAATTCTGGACAGACAAAAGGACATACAGCTACCAGACAGAAACTCTGAACAGACAAAAGGACAAACAGCAACCAGATAGAAATTTTTGACAGACAAAAGGACATACAGCTACCAGACAGAAACTCTGAACAGCCAAAATGACAAACAGCAACCAGATAGAAATTCTGGACAGATAAAAGGACATACAGCTACCAGACAGAAACTCTGAACAGACAAAGGGACAAACAGCTACCAGATAGAAATTCTGGACAGACAAAAGGACAAACAGCTACCAGATAGAAATTCTGGGCAGACAAAAGGACATACAGCTACCAGACAGAAACTCTGAACAGACAAAATGACAAACAGCTACCAGATAGAAATTCTGGACAGATAAAAGGATAAACAGCTACCAGACGGAAATTCTGGGCCAACAAAAGGACATACAGCTACCAGACAGAAATTCTGAACAGACAAAAGGATAAACAGCTACCAGATAGAAATTCTGGACAGATAAAAGGATAAACAGCTACCAGACGGAAATTCTGGGCCAACAAAAGGACATACAGCTACCAGACAGAAATTCTGGACAGACAAAAGGACATACAGCTACCAGATGAAAACTCTGAACAGACAAAAGGACAAACAGCTACCAGACGGAAATTCTGGGCCGACAAAAGGACATACAGCTACCAGACAGAAATTCTGAACAGACAAAAGGACATACAGCTACCAGACTGAAACTCTGAACAGACAAAAGGACATACAGCTACCAGACAGAAGTTCTGAACAGACAAAATGACATGCAGCTACCAGACAGAAGATCTGAACAGACAAAAGGTTATACAGCTACCAGACAGAAACTCTGGACAGTCAAAGGTCCCAGACAGAATCTTGCCACACCTACCTCAGCCTCCTTCTCTACCAGTTGTTTTTCACGGTCTGTGAGTTCCTGGGCTTGACTCTCAGGTCTACGTTTACTGTAACATAGAAAACAGAATCCCATAGAGGTACAGCTAATGGTAGTTAAGTGAACTCTGTATAACATCAAACATTAACAAATAATTAAAGGCTTTGGATAAGTTATACACTGGAATATTTTATCAGGGGACAAAAACATAATTTCAAATTAAAAGAATGAAACATTTAAGTGATCAGAGTATGGGAAAATAAATATTAAAAATGCACACAAACGTAGCACACACACTGTTTACTGTAAAAGACTTAATTTTTGAGAGTATTTCTTCTTTTTTCCCCACTATTATTTTTCCCCCAACTGAAACTTGTAAAATGAGTTTCCTTGTATGTGTCTGAATATTTTGACATTTTTGAATTCAAAATTTACTAGGAACTGAATACCTCTTAAGTCGTAATTAATAAATTGTAAACAGGAAGTTGCTGGAGAAACAAAAGGCGATCCCGTGTGGTGTACAAACGTGAGAAATTTACAGTAAACAGGAAGTGGTTGACGCGGCAAAAGGCGACAGGGGAGTGGTATACAGGTGCATGGCTTGTAGCTTAACATACATTAGAATGGCAATGTTGGCATGAAGATATGGCACCACCTTTATGTTACAAAGTGTATCTATCTAATAACAGTTATTCTCAAAATGACTAAAAATGTATAACCATTAAATTAATTAACATTTGTTCCGAAAATCATTATTTTTATTAAAGTTAAAATTAAATGGTTTTGCCTTGTTTGATGTGATTAAAACAAAATCTTGAAAAGTGTGCTTGAATTATATAGGCTCCTTTGGAAGTATTGATAACGTAGATTAACGTGCAATAGTAGGGTAGGTGATATAACAAGATATTTTAGTTGTTATGAAGTCCGAAAGGAAACAGTTCAGTCATCAAATAATTATTTTTAGAGCTACATGTATAAATTTGTAACACACAATAAATATCAGTTTGCATCATTAGCACAATCAGTTTATCTCTGTACAGTTCTGAGTAAAGTATAGTCATGCATATTCATTATCATGCAACAGACACACCCATCTACCCTTCCCAATCGTCTAGCTCCACCCCCACTACAATGGGTCCAGCAACAGACACACCCATCTACCCTTCCCAATCGTCTAGCTCCACCCCTACTACAATGGGTCCAGCAACATTTGCTAATAAACATATTTTTTTCTTTTTTGAAGATTGTTTTACTTATTCTAGTTTTGTTATAAATATATGGAAAAGAAGAACTGATGTATAAAACAAAATACACTTTCATCAGACAAAATAAATGTTTCATTTTCAAAGCTAAGAAATAATAATTTCAATAGGTGATTTTTTTTTGGATTTTTTTGCATTAATTTGTAATTAAATATTGAAATTATTTGAATTTCAGGAAATACACAAGAAATCAAATTCTATCAAAACCATCTGAGAACCTTGATTGATATGGAAGAATACACTGTCAGAACTGTCTTAAGGAATCCCCGGTCTACAGCCACTACCCCTTGTCTATATAGACAAAACTGTCTTAAGGAATCCCCGGTCTACAGCCACTACCCCTTGTCTGTATAGTCAAAACTGTCTTAAGGAATCCCCAGTCTACAGCCACTACCCCTTGTCTGTATATTCAAAACTGTCCTAAGGAATCCCCTGTCTACAGCCACTACCCCTTGTCTGTATAGACAAAACTGTCTAAAGGAATCCCCCCGTCTACAGCCACTACCCCTTGTCTATATAGACAAAACTATCTTAAGGAATCCCCAGTCTACAGCCACTACCCCTTGTCTGTATATTCAAAACTGTCCTAAGGAATCCCCTGTCTACAGCCACTACCCCTTGTCTGTATAGACAAAACTGTCCAAAGGAATCCCCCGTCTACATCCACTACCCCTTGTCTGTATAGACAAAACTGTCTAAAGGAATCCCGGGCTACAGCCACTACCCCTTGTCTATATAGACAAAACTATTTTAAGGAATCCCCAGTCTACAGCCACTACCCCTGGTCTGTATAGACAAAACTGTCTAAAGGAACCCCGGTCTACAGCCCCTACCCCTTGTCTATATAGACAAAACTGTCTAAAGGAACCCCCCGTCTACAGCCACTACCCCTTGTCTGTAGAGACAAAACTGTCTTAAGGAATCCCCCGTCTACCGCCACTCCCCCTTGTCTGTATAGACAAAACTGTCACTACCCCTTGTCTGTATAGACAAAACTGTCTAAAGGAATCCCGGTCTACAGCCACTACCCCTTGTCTATATAGACAAAACTGTCTAAAGGAATCCCCCGTCTACATCCACTACCCCTTGTCTGTATAGACAAAACTGTCTTAAGGAATCCCCCGTCTACAGCCACTACCCCTTGTCTGTATAGACAAAACTGTCTAAAGGAATCCCCCGTCTACAGCCACTACCCCTTGTCTATATAGACAAAACTGTCTAAAGGAAACCCCCGTCTACATCCACTACCCCTTGTCTGTATGGACAACCTGTGTTTAATGAACGCTTACATTTATTAAGGTACAATCTGATATTTTACACCTGTTTTGTGCTCTATAATAACCTGTATAAAGGGACCAACTACATAGTATGACCTTTGCCTCAAACTTCCTTTCCCAATCCGCTAAGATACGTTTTGTTATAAAGTTTCTTAAACCCATTTTTTCCCTTTGGTTTTTTTATTTTAATTTCCTCTCCCAACTACAGACAGAGAAGTACACACAGACGGAGAGTCAATAGGACAAACAGTATGGTTGGTTTTACAGAGGAATGTATTAAAGCTGTAACCGAGGTTTGCTGAACACAATCAGGCGTACACAGGTAGGTTTAACACAATCAGATATACACTACCAGTCGCACATGCTTACCGTATGATGCAGCAGGAGCAAAGAGGAAGGGAAAAAAACAGGAAAAGTGTTTACAAACAAAGAAATGATTAGGTTCTCGCTGTAAACTTACAAAGCTTAAACAAATGTAACTAATAAATCAGCATGATATTACACCACGTGATTTCAAGGAAAAGTTGTAACGAAACTAATAATGGCTAACTAAGCTTATCTGTTAAACTAAGAAAGCTTTAAAAGTCAGCTAGGAAAGTCGGGGGAAGGGCGAAGCTTCAATAGTAACGCAAAATGTCGCAAAATTAGCAATAGAATGTTGCAAGTTCATATATGTATTCTGAACAATAAGTTACACGTCCCTGCAAGCAAAAAACAGTTTTAAACGTTTGGATATATACCAGACTATATCAGGGAGATGAGAAAGACATGAAGACTGAAGTAGCGTATTCATAATGCTTAAACCGTGATTAAAAGTTTTATGATATATTTTAACAGAATGTTTTTTATATATGTTGCAATATATTGATGTATATCATAAATTATAGAAATACTGAAAAGTTTTAAACCAAGAACAACCTTCTAAGCTTGTCCACGAGTGAAACTCGACTGAAAAAAAAGTCAATTATTTTTTAAACCAGCTTATTTCGACATTGAGATTTAAAACAATGTTGTCACTGTATTTCTTTGCATGATAAAAATATAATATACAGAGGTTAGCTTCCCGGGTAAATAAACACTATCTACTAATATTGTATAAATTCTGAAGCTGAATACTGCATTACACTGGAAGCATTATATATAGGTACAGCCCTATAATTCTAGATTTGTATCTATTCTTGACAAAGACATTGATCAGCCTTGATCTCATTTGAAAAAGAAAAAGAAAATATTCCAAATTCAAGGGAATTCTTACTTTAATTTAAACAAATAAAAAACATTAAAATATGTACAGATATCGAATATCTTAAAATGAAAAGGAACCGAACAATAAATGAGTTGCTTGTGTGGTCGTCTTGAAAAAATATTCATTTCTATATTCAAAGACACAGAATCAGGAGATTAAATGTTGATGATTGTTACATGTAATTTAAACCTGAAAAGTAAGCTAACAAGGACAGTACGTCATAGGCTAACAAAGGAAGTCCTGGAATTCTGTTAGTGAAAGCAATGTCAGCTTAAAACAAGTTTACAAATATTTTTCTATGAATAAAGTCTATCATTTAAAGACTAAAGAACTTTATAAAGCAAAAGACAGCTGTTTGAATAATAGATTATATACATTTTAAGATAGGCACCATCTTTTTATGAAAATTTCTATGAAGTTAAATTTCGAAAATAAAGTAAATACATGTACTACAGGCAAGTCATGATAAAAAGTAAGAAACTTTTACATAAGACTACATTTGTATGACATACAGGTAAATTTACATGACTACATTTGTATGATATACAGGTAAATTTACATGACTACATTCGTATGACATACAGGTAAATTTACATGACTACATTCCTATGACATACAGGTAAACCTTATATGACTGCATACATATGACATACAGGTAGATTTGCATACAACTTCATTCTTATGAAATACAGGTAGATTGTCTGAAGGACTACTCTTTTGATAAACGACACAATCTGTAAGATGACAAGACATGTTATGACGTCAGAGGCGAAGTGGAATGTAGGAAGGCGTTATCTAAAATGTCCTTTTCCACATTTTACTTTCTGTTGCATTCAGGACATTTCAGGTAAGAAAGGGTTGTGATTACAAAATCTTTTCATGATTTCTAAATTTGGGAAAAACTCTGAACAACATGCAGGTGCTAAGGCGCCGAATAAGGAATGGATGATATGCAAAGGAACTTATCTGTTAGCGGACATGGTCAAAGTTTTCTTCAGAAACACTTGTAAAATATACAATATAGCCTCATTAGGCCCGTCTCATGTTAACAGAATGCATAACTTGACTGAAAGCTGTTAAAATTGTTGAAGCAAAGTTGTCATTTTGTCCCTGAAACGTGTGGATAGTATGTAAATTATCAGTTTACAATTGTGTGGGTTTTGACTACAAATTATTTTGTTAAAATAATCATAAATTCTGTTATTAAACTTACTTTCAACTGAATACAAAAACTTGGTGGAACTATTAGACCAAATGAAATCAATATCTGTCTTCTTTTGTTTTGGCCAATCATAAAATGATCTTAATTTATGTTTTTGATATTAATCCACCCCCAATCCCATACCCACAACTACTATTATCATGTTTCCGTGATCATGTGAAACATAAATTTTACAAATATCTGAACAAAACTTTGGTTAAATGTCGGCGCCACAACTGTAGGAGATGCTTTAGTATCAACAGTCCTCATTCTGTAAAATACTGTCCGCTTCAAAACAATCTTTAAATGATATTTCTTGAAGTCCAAATTTATATACATCTGTACATCTAATGGCCTGTTCTTGATTTCATATTTTAATTAACTCATTCATCCCTGAAGACACATTTGAACTCTTCCAATTCAAAGGATGGAATAGTTCATTATGAAATTTCAGGGGAGAATGAGTAAAATTGATATAAGATTTAGCATCAAAGATACAGGTATCAATGAACTCCATTCACCCAAATAAAAAACTTAACATTTTGAATTTGTAAATGAAAACTTAAATTATTCAACTTTTTGTGTGACAAAATGTATCGGCAAACTACTAAGGCATTTGGCAAAAGTTTAAAACGGTCCATTAGCTGGCCTAGGCATTAGACAGAATGAAAGCTGTATAGCTATGAAGTTGGCATGTTAGATTCACGCAGAAGAGAGAAAATAAGACATACTCTTGAGCATCGACCTCGTCACCTCGCCCCCGTCTGTAATAACACAAACAGTGAGGGGCACACAAATCAAACAAATCTAATCCTATAGACGACAACTCACCACACAAATTTAAAACAACTCAAAACTAGTGTGTTCTTTTCAATATTTGAAATAAAGAGATTTTTTCCTGTTGATATAGATTGTCACATCGTTGGAGGCAACAGAGAAAAGATGAGAGGTTAAGAAAAAAATCTATTTAGGGTCGGTGGCCATAAATAACGCATAACATAACATCATAAGTTCTGCCGATCTTTTGACAGACACATTTCAACTTTCAAGATTGTGTTTACGTGTTGGCTACACGTTACACTGACCCTTGGTCTAGACAACACAGTTAACTTGGTCTACTTTAAGAAAATTGCCTACTATTTTCATCACCTACAATAATTAATTGTGGCTAGTGTAATTCTGAATGAACATTAATGCAGGACTGTTTTCTTTCCATTTTTTATTCCCCCTCCCCCGCCAAAAACATATTCAAACATAAAAGTATGATAAAACATATAAGAAATCTCCTTTTCTTAATAAACATTTTTATTGACTTGATATATTTTAGAAATTTCAAATAAAAAGAACACAATAGTGGTATTAAAATGTTTAAAAGTAAAGTAGACAATCACACCCTAACAGCATTATCTTATAAAACGTTAAAAGCAAACGATGTGAGGTTTGTCAATATTCTTAGTGAGGGGGAAATCTATATTCTACGTGAAAAAATGGGGGAGAAATTGTTGCTCTACATGATAAGATGAATAAGAAATCGATGTTCTACGGGAAAAGATGAGGGAGAAATCATAAATGAAAATCATAAACAACAATAAAGTGACTTTACACACAAAAAGTGTCCAGTGAAGCTAGCAGGTTGGAGAGGTGTGAAAATTTGGCTAAGGATAAAAAATGATAATGAAAAATGGAACAGACAAATAGATGATTAAGGCAGCCTTACAAAGAAAGTGGAAACATTGTCAGTTTGTAAACCCCGCCTAGTTTTTACATGTAGGATACAGCTGTCGATCACTATTATGCCCCGCCCATACCTGACAGTCTTCTTGGCTGCGGCTCCTCCTCCATCGGCGAGTTTCTCCGCCCGGAAGTTCTCATAATGCACTTCTTGTGTGACTTCCTGTAAGTCTTGCATATGTGTGCTGTAACATCAGGGGTAGACAGATTGTCATTTTAGGATAGTGAATTTTACACTAATCTGTTGCTACTCTAAAAATGTTTTCTGGAGAAAGTCAGATAAAGTGGCAGGAGTAAGATTTGTATGAATATATATAATTAGAAGTGCATCATTGTGAGGCGTCATATCTTTTTTTTTGTCATGAATTAACAGTTTTCGGAATAAGATTCACAACTTTTCAGACCAAGGTCTTTATAATGTATCATGATTTTTCTAAATTAGAACAGCATATAGATTGTTAAAAACATATCATTTCAGTCTTGGGTCCATCACAACATAAACCAAGCCTGAATTTGATTGGCCTAAATTTGTCTTCAGTGACCAATCACAAGGGTCCTTACATCAGCATTGTTCTAAGTTTGATGAAGTCGCAGTGTTCTGGATTTTCTACTTCCACCACTCCCCATGGGTACATGCGTCCTCTGACCTTGCGACCTTTGACCTCTATTACTGTGTTGGCCCCAATCACTGCAAAAGGCACTGCTTCCTGGAAGTAGATGTTAGACAATGGCAATTCAAACAACACTCCTGTTACATGAAATCGTTAAATTTTGTTATTTTGTTATTTATTTTTTGTAAAAGAAATTAAATAATACACTTGATAATTACAGAATTAAGGTTTAAATAGCATCAATCAATTAGAGAGTCTATTGTTACCTTGAGTTGGCGACACTGTTCCCGGTAGTCCTCGTCTTCGTCCGAGTCACAGTCCGGGAGTGGGTAAATACTGATTCCGTGTTCATCTATCTGGTCCATCACCTATACAAAATCACAACTATCATTTATTTTTTTATTTCAACTTGTATACAGTGTTAACTATTATATATGGTGTTAACTATTATATATGGTGTTAACACAGGAAAAAGTAAACAAGACAACCAAGGGGCCTTGGCTCACCTGGATATTTTGGAAAATTAGTTAAAATCTGTCCTGTAGTTTGGAAATGTAGCACCAAGGAATGCTAGAAATTCTGTAAGCATGAGCTGAGGATGCTCCCAACAAAACTTGGTTAAAATCTTCTCAGTAGTTTAGGAGGAAATGTCTTTAAACAGATGACAGACGACAGACAAAGCACCACAACAAAGCTCACACTAGTAGTGCACTTTATATCAGTGAGCTTATAAATCAATCCTTATTATATAGAGAAACTGCTAGACAGAATTCCACTAAGTGTAAAGATGAGAGTGTAATGTCAGTTAATGGTACAGACACATCCTAGGTAGACAAATGTTCACCGTTATAACCTGTCAATATGTTACTGATTATTTAATACCAATGGTCACTTTGCCATTATCTTTAAACACTTTTTTTTTCACTTTTGACAACTGTACATTGTTCTGATGACGCCCACAAACAGGTAACCTGGATTGACTTTCCCCGAGACTCCCCATTGGATGTTGTCTGGTCATCTCTTCTTTGTAATTTTGATTACTCTAATGGCCGTACTAGTGAATTCCATTTAGGAATCCATCGACTGGGGAACAGAATTCCACTGAATATCCAACAGGGCATGTTGGATCTACCTTTCCCTTGTACTTATACAATTTTGTCAATTTGTTTGTCTATTAAAAACTTAAAACTATTACCTGTTTCAGTTTGACATTGTTTTCTCATAGTATGACTAGTTGTTTTAATTATATACAAATTTACCTGTTCATGTTATCTCAACAATACATTTTCTCTGCATGATGTAAGATAACCTGACAATTATATTTTAGCGTCAGGAATTGTGTCGATGAAAACTCAACTATAATTTCATTAAATCTAAATTTGGATTTAAGTAAAGAAAATGACACTAAGTTCACCTTATTAAACAGCATTCTAAAACTTCTTTGACAAGAAATTTAATGTCCGATATGTTATCTTAACATAATCAAATTGACTGATTACAATAGAAATAACGATTTAATTTATCAACAACACCAATTAAATCAAGACGAACTTCTGTCCCATGAAATCTTAGATATACAAAGATAGTGTTGATTAACACAAACTGTTCTTTAATCATGAGCCCTTGCTTGTCAACCTGACGATAGGTTAAATTCCAGACCACAACTTGGAAGAGCGTATATAAAACGGAAAGCTAGTCAGGTGCTATCCCAGCATACCTTTTTCTTGAGGAGGTACACTTCCTGTAGAGTAAGCGTGTCGGCTTTGGCGATCACAGGGACGATGTTGACTTTGTTGTGTACTGCCTTCATAAAGGACACGTCAAGGGGGCGTAGTCTGTCATCAGAGGAAAATCAATTAAGTTTTATAATTACCGACTGTACCATCACATATCCTGTTTTTATTTTCTTTACAAAAAACAAAGTTTGTGTTGTAATTCACATTTTTGATTTGTAAATTAATGCTTGTGTAAATTATCACTAAGTGGTGATCACCCACCCCCCACTATCTCTAACACTTCTGGGCTGTAAACAACAGATATACATCTGAAAATCTGAAAACATCTCAATTGTAATGAACAGATCCCATAAACTACTGTGATGAGGTAGTAAACAGCTGTGATCTTGTGTTCCAGTCCAACTTCCTGGTCAATCTGACATGACTATTAGCTTGTGACAAATGGATTCCTAGTTCCATAAAACACCACTCAAGCTAAACAAATATTTCAGTTTAGACTTAATAATTTCTCTGTTATTCATTTTTAGGAATATTTACTTTAAACTTACCAAATAGTTACATTTAATAGTAGATCAAACATATTTATCAAGAAACGCTACAGAAACACAATTTGGGTGATTTGTAGAATAGACAAGACACAGAAAGAAACCATCAATATTTGCCATGGTGTGGACGATGACTTTCAAGTGTACTAAATAAATCACTTAATTGTTCATTTCAGTTCCATGCTATGGAATTGACTTTTAAAAGGATTTTTTTATCATGGAAAGTTAGTGCTACATAGCTCTTGGAATGGGTATAAAAAAGGGGAGGTAAATATTGTCAAAACAAAAACAAATTATCTCCCTTAGACTATTGGCAAGACAATATCATGGCAAGTTTTCTCTAACAAATTCTTTTAAAGTGGGAAAAAGTTGTATGTCAGAATATTTCAGAAGTTTGGTAAGTGTCAAGTCATAATGAAAAATTCCATGGTATTCCTTTTTCTTTTTCTTTTTATTGAATCATAAATGTTACCAATTTTGTTCCCATACCATTTAATTGAAATTATTAAACTGATCCTATGTGCTTGTTTGTTTTTTTAAATTTTAATTTAAAAACATTGTTATGTATTTCAATAATTCCCTTTTTATTTTGAGTAATGAATTTGGGATACATCAGGCTTTGGTCGTCACCATCTAACATCACCTCCAGAGACATGATCATTTTATATTGAAATTACCTCCCTTCGACCAGTGCATAATCAACCCAAATCCTGAGCTATTTTCTATGTTTGTTTCTTTCCTTACTAAATCAGAATGATATCAAACAGCAAACAGTTATTAAATGGTTGATTTTAAGACGGTTTTATTCAAACCATTTTTTTTTCAAGTTTTTCATACTATTGCCACCACTGTGTAAATTTGGGGACAATTTTCTAATTTCAATAACCTTATAATCTCCCTTTTACCATGACCATTCCTGCTTCAGGTGATGATAAGTACTAAATGAGCAATACACTCTCTTCACATCAGCTAAGGTCATAAACAGCTACCTTCATCACCTATATTATCTCTATATGATACCTTGACCTTGACATGTGACTTGGCCTATCCATTTTCTGAGGGGTTGACCTATCTATGACCTTAACCTACCGATGACCTTGACCTGTGACTTGGCTTACCCGTGACCTGAGGGATTGATGAAGTAGAAGCAGCAGTGGACACGATTGTCGATGATGTGGCGTCGGTTGAGACCACTCTCGTCCTGTAGGTATCGCTCAAACTGGTCGTCAACATACTGAATGATAGGCTTGAAGCTGTCAAACCAAAAACATCAAATATAATTTTTATAGACTCAAAAGTATCAAACAAGAATTAAGTTTATAAACAATAATCAAAAGTAGTCATTTCTTTACCCTTTAAACTTGGCCAATGACCACCAAAATCTAATCAGCTGTAGAAGTTACTTAGCAATGCTGTAAATATAAACAACATCTGTTAAAAGATTTGTGAGATATCTTGCTACAAGCAGATCTACCGAGCGCACCAAAGCAATTACTCAACCCCCCCCCAATCCAACTATGAGGGGTTGCAGTTAAACTGCATAATTAATTGATGAAGCATTAACTTTGTAAGCATTTTATATTTTTTTTAATGATTAACTAATATCTAAACACTGTATTCCTCAATTAATGGAGTGTTATGCCCCTCACCAGTCGCTGGAGTTGAGCGAGTCTCCGAACCCTGGAGTATCCACCACCGTTAGCCGGAGTTTCACTCCTCTCTCCTCAATCTCCACTGTAGAGGCATCGATCTTCACCGTCTGTTTGATTTTCTCTGAAAATAAGAACAAAATAATCTTTAGCATCGCTAACTAGAAAACCAGAATAACTATATACATCCCAACCTAACAGTATTCACACTAACTATAGTTGTAGTGGAAACACAAGAAACTGATAAAAACTTTTCTTGTGAAAATTGTACTACATGTATTTGGTTGTTTCACTCAACTCATTCACCCTTGAAATTTCATAATGAACTATTCCAGCCTTTGAATTGAAAGAGTTCAAATGTGTCTTCAGAGGTGAATGAGTTAATACATTCTTTACAAGAAAAGTCAGAAAAATAGCTGTTCCCGTGATCAATCTAAAGAAATAGAACATAAAATAACCTGCCTGTTTAAAAGTTAAATACCTACCAGGATATGCAGTGAATACATCTTTGTCACACTTTTTACATGTTACTTGTCATATGTATTAAGACTTAGACAAAGGATTTCTTATCAAGATTTTTTTCATATGGTACTTAATTGGGCAATAGCCACTAGTGTACCAGTGCTAAAATACCGCTATTATATTCTGAATTTAGCACTCCCCTGTAATGTGTGTGCTTCAGTTTGATACAGGGACAGTATAAATGTGAACATTTTTGTAACATCATCAGTGAGTGTATACCTGTATGTAAGTTCTATAAACCATTAAAAGGATACATCCTTAGTTTTCTGTCACCTGTGAGTGTATACCTGTATGAAATTTCTATACAAGACTATGTATGTACATCCCTAGTTCTGTCACCTGTGAGTGTATACCTGTATGTAATTTCTATACAAGACTATGTATGTACATCCCTAGTTCTGTCACCTGTGAGTGTATACCTGTATGTAATTTCTATAAACCATTAAAAGGATACATCCTTAGTTTTCTGTCACCTGTGAGTGTATAACTGTATGTAATTTTTATAAACCATTAAAAGGATACATCCCTAGTTCTGTCACCTGTGAGTGTATACCTGTATGTAATTTCTATAAACCATTAAAGGATACATCCCTAGTTCTGTCACCTGTGAGTGTTTACCTGTATGTAATTTCTATAAACCATTAAAAGGATACATTCCTAGTTCTGTCACCTGTGAGTGTATACCTGTATGTAATTTCTATATAAGACTATGTATGTACATCCTTAGTTCTTCCCCTTTCATCAAAGGCCTTGGTTATCAGAAGTGAAAGTGAAATACACCATTTTGATATCTGATATCTATTAGAATACTGGTTTGACTATAGTGTGTATGCTATCTGAAACCATCATCTCAACCTATCACTAGGATCTTTACACTGACAACAGTAAAACTCTGGTTCTGATAGGAATCGGGCTACTCCTATATGCACCTGTATCTTAAAATTCTTTTCAAAAATCTTAAGAGATCTCCCGGGGGTGAAATTACAAATATGGAAATTTTGTCTTTAACTTAAAATGCAGATAACATTCTAAACGAAATGAAAACATTAAAGTTATTTGAAAGTGTTTGAAAATGAAAACTCTATTAAGAGCTTTTACATCACTGTTAGATTTATGAAACGAGCCTCGTGTGATAAACTTGCATACAAGATTCTTCTTAAGTAGGGCAAGTACTTGCTGTATATGTCATTTTGGTTTTCTCTCACTTGGAAACATTTCAGTAAAAAAATAACCCCACCCCTCTTACACTTTCTTCTTCAGTAAAAGTGTAGACTAAATTGTTTTCTGCACCGTAAGTACTACAGTCTATTAAATCTACCGACAATAACTAGAAGTACGTCTGTAAGACAATGATGCCCTAATCTAACACTTAATAATCAAAGCAAGGTCACAGAGGCCAAGGTCAAAGGTCAAGGTCACAAAACGTCACCCAACATACTGTATTAGAAGTATTAGCATGTGAAGAAGCTTTAATCTAGCTGCAGTCCTTTGTCTATAATTCACCTTAATGCACTACTGTATACCTGGAACCTGTTGTTGTCGTCTAAATTGTTTGCCCTCTACCATGAGGGCAAGTTTATCACTACGTAATACATAGTAAGTAAAGGTGTAATTAACACTGGGCCAATTTGGATTTCACTGTCGTAGTGCGAAAAATTGAAAATTTCCCAATTAAACAGTAACTTAACTGACCCGAAGAATGGACAACACTTTATGCCCTACACTACTTCAGACATAATTAATATCTTTGGATATTGAACAGAATGAAGAGATTATATATATATTTTTACAAAAGCATTTGTGTTTCTAGTATAAGAAATGTTTTCTTTTTATCATGAGCCTTCAAAAACTTCATTTTTTCACCAACCAAGGGAACAGGGTGTCCAGTACCTTTTAGAATAACTCATTTCTGATATATGCCTCGTTGAAAACTATTTTGAAAAGATTGACCATCTTTTACCATCTTGTTATGAATCTTTTTCAAATATAAATTGAAAATTATTTTCTTTACAAAATAAACACGGGCTACGTAATGATACCAGAATTTCTAAGACACCATTAAGTTTTCATAAATGCATCAAGCTTGGAAACACACATGTTACGTGTTGGTGTCATATTTTATCTTTTGATTTACATTTGGAATATAACACAATTTCTTTAGAATATAACGATGCAATTTTTGGAGATCAAATTGCCTGTAGGATAGTTGAAGCATAAAATTGGTGAAATTTAATGAGAATGTTTTTAAATAAGTATCTACGATGTTGTATTAGGTTTGATAGAATTCTAGCGTAAATGGAGAGTGATTTAGCAGTGAAATGTGCTGCAGTGTATATCGCCTCATCTTTTATCTGATAGACACCGAGATAAAAGGTCTCAGTGATTCAGTCACGTGTGACCGCCGTGAAATGATCGGTGCATTGCTCGGTACCTATGTTGTATCTAGGCCAGGTTGTCCTGTTTGCTGACAGAAATTATGAATGAACGGAGGATACTGTTTTTTTCCTTAAATTGAACTACATTAAAATTCTTTTCCAGGTGTTTGCTTTCTGTTTAAATTAGAATATAATTCTGGTTTTTGGATTCTATTAGCTATGAAGTGTTGGACTGACTAGGATATAATTAAGGTTTGTTTGTGTGAGCTGTATTGGGCAGGGCAAGTGATTGTCCAGTCACTGTAACACTACACAACAAAATCATGTAAATGGCCGTTTTGAAATTTGAAGTATACATACAGTTTGATAAATTATCAACAAAGTGAATATCAGTTAAGTAAATAGTTCTACGAAAAGAAAGTTAATCTGGCTAGCTAAAGAGACGAGTGACAGAGGAGTATGTGATGTTGTATTTGATCAGACACTGATTTACAGGTATTGATATTACATTGTGTAATGAATGGTCTCAGTGGATATTATTTTCCTTTCTTGGCAGTGGTATATGGACCAACGTTATCATGTTAACAGTCACAACGACATTCTCCTGTCCAATGAGATTCACCGGTGTATACCATGTGACTGATGTGTTCATGTGATACATGAGATGCGACCAATGTGATGTGAGGATACAAATCATTTGGCCAATCGGAGATCAGATATACCTGCAGCAGAGTGGATGTGTCGTTCTGGGTAGAGGTCAGTCAGGAACAGGCTGTTGACTAGTGTAGATTTTCCCAGGCCCGACTCTCCTGTAACACAGATCACTGGTTATTGACAATGGACAGCCGACATTTAATGTATGCACGCAATACCTGTTATACACAGGACAATGTCATCATTTCTTCCTTATAATGTGATTTTGTGCTTCAAACAGACCCCACGTTTCATACTTTGTTCAAGATTCACCATCACAAATTATTTGAATATCAAACACAGCCTTAGGGTAAGTGTTTACTGTGAAAATCAAGTTGATTATTTTCTTTTTGGACAAATAACACTTTTTTTGTTATTTTCAATTTACAATCAGAGAGAAAGGTTTAAAGTGCAAAATAAAATAAAACTTGCCTTTTTTTCAGTCAAACTACACATTCTTGAAAAATATCTAAATATTCATTCATAAATGATATTCACCGAGAACCCATAAATATCCTCATTTGTCAGGTTCATACTTACCCACGACCATAAGCGTGAACTCGAAGCCCTTTTTAACGGACTTCCTGTGAACCTGGTTGGGCAGATTTGCAAAGCCGACATAGCCTGGCTGTTCTGGACTTGTGAACTGTAAACACACAGAAAGGTACGGCTTAATTAGTAAACGAATCACATTGATGCAAATTTCCACCATATACAACTCAAGAACTAGAATCAATAATTACGGTAAGGTTATTCTCAATAACTAAATATTGCTTCTTGAACAGATTTTGTAAGAGAGATAACTCTTACACAAAGTACAGGTAAACTGAGTGAGGAAGCATACCTCCTTAAACCTTTAAATATGACTGTATAATACTGACAGTAATGTTGTAATTTAGACTGACAGATTAAAGCAGGTTGTTGACGTGACTTAAAAGTCTACCTGTTCAATTAAACATGTTTTATTTTCAGGTTGAACATGAGTTGGTGCAGAATCAGATGACATTGATAATACATCACTACAAATATAAGATTTCCTAAAAAATAAGTAGCTCACAAATATAACACTTCTTTGAAAATAAGTATAGAAAATTTAAATACTTAATAAGTAATTACTCAGGTGGGACAATCAGGTTACAAGTGGCAATGCAAGCCTGTTCGCTTAAAATTACCAGGTAGTCAGACATTTGTTGATGTTTGAATTGTTACAGTACAGCCTTCTAGACTATTATGGACAATATACAGACTGATTTGAAATCCAACATGGCCACCCCGTCTCTGACAGGCTTTATTTCTGATTCATTCTGAATTCTACTAGTTTGAACCTCCCCCCAAACTCTGTACACATATTACTGTTGGTGTCTTCATTATCATTGTTGATATCTGACTTATTTGGGTCAATGAAAATCTCGGATGATCATGATCACCATGGTTTAAGGTTATAAAGGCAGACAAACAAAAGGACATGTATCCCCAGAAATAAAGTGAATGTATCTTGTTGATTCAGGAACTGTGACATACAAAGAATGTGTCATCAGTTTGAAAATTTCATAATGGAAGGTCTCAAATGAAATTGGCCTAAAACCTTGAAGTACAGAGTACATAGAATGTGCTGGCCTCATATTTGAAATAACCGACTCTGTATAGCATATGGTCTCACATGATATCGTGGAATTGGTCTGATATACAAGCTACAAATCAAATATCTTGTTTCTCAAGCATGGAACACGTTTGTACTGATAGAGGCTGTAATCAGTAAACTGGAGTTTGATAGAGAAAACTATAACTTGGGATGAATCATCTTTCATAGCGTACAAACTCCTCCCAGTTAAAACACCCTCTGCCCTCCCATCCTTAGATTAGATATTTACATAGACTTGGAATTCCCCGTGTAATAATCCATCTAAGATAAACATATATCCACTTAGACTGTCGCTGGGATTACACTACCCTTACAGTAATAGTTTCCTGCTATTTGGGATTTCTTGCAAAACAACATCCTCTGAAAGTCCATCTATGTATCAACGTTACCCATTGTATAACTACACTAACCTCCTCTCTTAACACCCCCACCACACCCCACCACACCCCACCCCTACCAAACTATCTTCATCAAGTACCCATAAAATGCCATGAAACATTGACCCTTCACTCACCAAACTGTAGTTGCTACATACAAAATAATGAAAACAATGTGAGGTTTTCAATTTCAAGCACTATATTTTTTACATGTAAAACTGATTCATTCAAATTACATTAAAATGATAAAGAACAATAAACATTAAACTGAATTCATTACTTTAAGTTGTTAAATCCCTCTTCCTCTTATATTCTTTTATACCAACTTTTTCACAGATTCATTGCAAAGAGAAGTTGACACCCCCCTCCCTCCTCTCCCCCACCCTGCTCACCAAACCAACCAATTACATGCCAGGATAGTACTGCTTATCAATTTCACACATTACTTTAAGTGAAATAGAATGATGCACATTCCCTCCTGAAAAGCTGACCGACCCAAGGCCTCCTCCTCCAACAATTAGCCACATACATGATTACTTTCAAAATAAATACCTGATATTTCCCACTTAGAACATTACACCCCTTCTTTCTCCCTCTCCTGAACCAATAACCGTACAACACTAATTACCTCTGTTATATTTCACACTTACATTTTCATCTCCGCCAAGAGAAAACATGGTTAGAAGATGTGGAGCGTGAAGCCTGCTGCCAATTATCAAAATGATTCTATGATTCCTAGATATTATTTCACACCTCTAGATGCTCCAACTCCACGCTGATGATATTTCCAGTGAAATGTCTACCACCACACGGACCTACATCAGTCCTGATACACACATACAGCGTCCATGTTTTTCAGTTATTTTCTGACAGTACACACAAAAATCGAGAAACAAAAATGTTTAGTCTAAACTCGCCACACAAAGACCTTGTTGTATTCTACCAGAGCAAAACTGAAACATTGGCAGAGATATAGCCAATAGGAAAAAAAATCATGTGCCAGTTTTAGCATTTGCTGTATTGGTGTGTGATAAAACTTGCCCTCCTCCTCACCAAAAATGTGAGATATTTGTTGGAGGTTGGGGCAGAGCTTGGAAATCAGTCGACAAGCTGTCAGCTTGATGCTACTGTGTAAACAAAATCACTACCTCAGAAACTGAAGTCCACTTCCTGGAAATCGTTCTGAAACTAATTTTCAGTTATTTTTACCAATTGTTTCATTTGTTATACATATCACAGTGAGATACTTAAAATATATCAATTTTTAGAAGGTCTTGAAGTAGGAAGAAATTTGGACAGTGTAGATTTAAGCTAGCTGTGTGAAGTCAGAATCGGTGTTTTGGTGCTTCAAAGTTAGTCAGCTTACAATTCCTTCACTAAAACAAAACTTCAAAACTTGTTAAAATTTATGTTTAAATTTTTAGGCATTTTATTCACTTAAACCTCTAAGCATACATTTTTGGTTATGAGCATGAGTATCAATATATTATCAATAACGTACAGTTTGTTTTAAGTTGATGACAAGTTGACAAGGCTTTTGAGCGAGTTGACCAGGAATGAAGGAGCTGGGTGTCTGTATATGTTACTGTTGAAAATATATAACTCAGCTGGTCTATAAGGATGGAGGAGGAAATACTACTGACGTCATACAAAGCGTGGTCAGCTTAACACATCATTAATTTTCGAAATGAGATAATTGAGGATTAAACCAATATTTTAGCTTTTTTGTCTACATGGAATCACCCAGAACCCATATTATTACGCAGTTTTAGGGAGAAATTCAAATATTTCAAAATAACATTTGTATAAATTTACCTTCAAGCAGGACATATATTAGGTTTGATCAACTACATCAGGATTATAATCTGGGGTCAAAGACCACCTTATATACAGTCTGTATACATGTATATATATATATTGTCACAATTTAATTACAGTAACTGAAGAACTCATCTAAATGTTAAGTCTGATTACTTAATGACAACTTGATGTAAAACAAACCACTAACCATTAAAAAAATATATCTAAATTTCAAAACATAATCAATAAACATCATTCCCATTGCACTTGCCAAGGATCCATGTCTCGCTGCCGACAAAACAGGACAGAATTCCACTGTAGTTTTGTATATGTAGTGACCTCCCCTTACTTTTTGGTATAACTATAAAGAGTATCTGGGCTAGGATTCCTCCATCAACCACGTAGTAAGTGGGTTAGAGCAACAGTACAAGGATATGAGGTCCAGGATTCAAATCCTGATCCCAATCAAATTATCATTGTAATTTTACAATGAGAGCACTGGTGTTTTTTTGTCTTGTACACAAGTGTCAACCTCTGAAACCTCTCCAATGAGGGAGATCTCCTGCATTCCACATTTTTAATGAGGGAGAAAGTGTGTGAAATATGACTAAAACTGATTTGGTCACTTTATCTTTCCCTTTTCATGTATTAAAATAACTCAAAAAAGCATTCATTTGATTCAGACACACCTGTTATGATCATTACACACACCCTGTAGTAACTAGGAGATCATTTGATTTAGACACACCTGTTATAATCATTACACACACCCTGCAGTATTTAGATCATTTGACTGCAGGATGTAAATTTTGAGTTTGTGTGAGTTTGGATTTTAATGAGGGAGTTTTGAGGGAGATTGGTAAATATTGGTCAAAATGAGGGAGGGTAGACGCTATGGTCTTGTATGAAGTTCTTACTAGAATATGCCTGTTAGAGATCCCTGTCCCACTGCACTGCCACTTTTCATATATACAGTAACCTCCCCTTAACTTCAGTTTGGATACAACTTCTGTTGACCAGGTATCTCAATCAGCCTCAGCAGTAACATACAGCATGAAGTCCAGGGTAGCAATCCTGGTATAGCTCAACCCATTTATTGTTGTTGCTCTTGTTGATCATGGTTTATATCATCTTCATTATTTTCCATAAAAGTCACATAAGGTGTGGTGTTTCTTCAGAAATGATTTATCGAGGCTATAATTGTGCCAGAAAAAAACGTTTCCAATACTTAGTTAGTTTTTGGCAGAGGTACGTAGATCCCTACCTACTGTACTTCATATACAAACATGACGACAGAAAATCTGTGTTTTGATACCTACAACGTGTGACACTTACAATGCATCTAAGATGAGATGATCCCATACAAGTCAAGTCAATTTGAATTTATTAAGATGATATGATGATTAAAGTTTGAAATGGGTTTCAAATCAGGTCTATTACACATTATGCCTCCACAAAACCTGACCACAAAAACTTAACCATGCACTAGCTTTCAACAAAATAAATAAAATTCAACTAATGTCAAAATCTAGATACATATGTAAGTATAAAATATCACTTAGTTTCATTTAAAAATCATATTTCATTTCATAAATATTTCATGAAAAAGTGAAATGAAAATGTAAAACCTCTGAATTTTATTCTAATTTCAATGCCTTACATTTCAATGATGATGATGATATATCACAAGGTAAGTTGAAGTTGTACTGGGTATGTAATACTGTACTAGGTAACGTTACCTGGCTTTACCTGATAGGTATACCCAGTACATGGCGTGTGGCCTCCCACAACACCTGTCTGACTGGGCTCACCCTCCACCCACAAACT